CTCATGGAGACCCTTCTCTCTGCCTAAAGGGGGTTGCCACAGCTGGCCCACCCACCCGCCCACTGACAGGCAAGTGATAGAGAGTGGGAGGGTGAAGGGGGTGGAGTGTGGAGAAACGAGGGGTGAGGGGATGAGGGGTAGTGACAAGTTACCACCCTGGGTGATGGTTGACACCAACCCTACTGACACCTGTTCCTTGCCAGCCCCTCTCCCAGCAGCGCCAGCCCACCTGCCACCACCGTAGATCATGTTGGTGTCACCTCAAATGTCAGAAGGTGTGCCCCACACCCTCAGACCCCCCCAGTAATGCCACTGGGGGCAAGGGATGGATGGGAAGTCCTTGAAGGCAGTGAGCAGGAGTAGTATGTGACCAGGGTCATAATGGGGTCCTAAGGAGAATGGGGGAAGTTTGGGCAATGTACTTCCAAGGTGGTGTCACCTCGGAAACCCAAGGAGGGGTCGCTATGAGTCGGGTGCAGCCCTACGGCAGTGTGTAAGGAGAATGGAAGGAGCTCTGGTGGTGCAGTGCCTAAGGCATTTGACTGCTAATCAGAAGGTTGACAGTTCAAACCCACCAGCCGCTCTCCAGAAGGAAGACTGGGCAATCTAGTTTCTTAAAGATTTACAGCTTAGGAAACCCAGAGAGGGTTGCTATGAGTTGGAATCGATTTGATGACAGTGAGTTTGTTTTTGTTTGTTTATTTGTTTGTTTGAGAATGCCTGTGAGGGTCAAGGTGGCTGGCCTGGGGTTTGTGGCAACGTTGGAGAGAAACAAATGGTTCAAAGCGGGGGACGTGAGCGCCCAGGGCGAGAGGGGAGGGTGTTGGCTCCGCTGCCTGGTTCCCTCCTTGATTCCTTTGGTGTTTGGCCTCATGACTCATCTTTGACTCATCACCCACAGCCATTGCCGTGTTTTCTTTTTTAGCAATGAACTTGTTTTTAACCACAGAGACATTGTGTTCTGGTCAATGGATTTCAAAGCACTTCCCCAAATACAGTCCCAGAGAAAGTGCAAAAGCCCTTCAATAAGGGCTGCCCCTCTGAGGCCTGCTCGGGGCTGTCACAAGCCAACAGGGCTGGGGTCTTCAGCACAGGGCCTACGTGGCTCTGCCCAGCAGTGCCCCCCAGTTCTGCTTCCCCCTTCTCCGTGTGGCCCATGAAACCCTGGCCCGGTTGCCAGCGCCCGGGGCCGCCCAGCCCGCAGCAGGTCACACGCTGGCCTCCAGCTGACAGGGGTACTTTCTTCCTAAGATGTTAACAAAATACACTAATGGTCTTGTAAAAAGGAGCTCTGCTGGCATAGTGGGGAAGACATTTGGCTGCTAACCAGAAGGTCAGCTGTTCAAACCCACCAGCAGCTGCTCTGCAGGAGGAAGATGAAGCAATCTATTTCCATGAAACTTGTAGCCTTGGAAACCCTATGGGGGTCACTATGAGTCACTAAACTTGATGGCTTGTTGTTGTTATGTGCCATCAAGTTGGACCCAACTCATAACGACCCTCTCCTTGGGTTTCCGAGGCAGTATCACTACGGAAGTAGATTGCCCAACTTTCTTTCCAAGAAGTGGCTGGTGGGTTGAACCACCAACCTTCTGGTTAGCAGTCAAGTGCCTTAGCCACTGTGCTACCAGCGCTCCTTGTGGCAGTGAGTCATTAATGCTCTTATGCAGCTCACTAGCTGTTAAGATGGCATCCCCAGCACCCCCTTTTCTGAGGATCTCTGAGGGAAGTTGGGGTGGTGTGTAACCACTTGTGGAGTGTTTTGCAGGGAAATACAGTCCTGGCTTTCCTACCTCAGGCCTTGGAGAACCCCTACTCCGTCAAAGCGCCTCCATTTTGAGTTGACACCCACCCCCACCCCAGAAACCACCCCAATCCGAGAAGCCCCACTCCCTCTGGCTTCCTCCCGGATGTTTCTGGAATCTCTCCTCTCTAACCCCCTACAGCTGCCCTGGTTCCGTCTGCCTGGAAGACCAGGCCAGCCTCCCCTCACTGACCTCTCAATCACCCTCCATGCCGATGGGGGCAGCACTGTTACACCTGGTCTCCCTGAGACTAGCTCCCCCATACCCCTTTATTTGGCTAACTCCTGTTTGCCCTCCAGACTCAGCTCATACATCACCCCCAGGGACCCCAGGGACCCCAGGGACCCCTGGGCCCCAGGTGAGAGCAGTTGCTTCCCCTGGGCCCCCTTTCAGTCTTCAGCCTGCCTGTTGACTGTTTAGAGTTCATCTCCCCAGTGACACTGAGGAGGCAGTGGTTGACTCAAGCAAGCACAGGTGGCTGTGGGGAGGGCAGGTCCTCACGGGGCTCAGGGAGGCCCTTCAAAAGGGGGGTGGGGTGGGGAATGTCAGGCACCACAGATTCTGGCACTGGGAACAAGCCACAGTGGGGCCTCCAGGCCCCAAAAAAGCCTGACGCCATTCCTAGTCCCAAGAAGAAATGTTGGGCCCTGAGAGGGTTCCTTCAGCAAACACCAGGGGGTCCCTCTTCTGCCCCTCCGTGCCCGTCTTGTGCCAGGCCCCATGCTGGGCAACCCAGGCATTTGGTGTTAGAGCTGGGCCAGAAGTGTGAGACAGTCTCCGCTGGGGGCAGCAGATGGGGACACTTTTAACCCTCCCCTCACCAGCAAGAGTGAGAGCTGGACAGTGAGTAAGGAAGACCAAGGAAGAATTGATGCTTTTGAATTAGGGTGTTAGCAAAGAATACTGAAGGTACCATGGACGGCTAGAACGAACAAATGTGTCCTGGAGGAAGTGCAGCCGGAATGCTCCTTGGAAGCGAGAATGGCCAGACTTCGTCTCACCTCCTTTGGTCATGTTGTCAGAAGGGACCAGTTCCTGGAGAAGGATGTCATGCTGGGCAAAGTGGAGGGTCAGTGAAAGAGGGGGAGACTCTCAACGAGATGGACTGACACAGTGGCTGCAACGCTGGCTCAGGTGTGGCAACGATTGTGAGGCTGGCGCAGGCCCGGGCAGGGTTTCGTCTGTTGCACACAAGGGGCACTGTGACTTGGGACCAACTCAATGGCCCCTAACAACAACAGGAAGAGCTGGGCTTCAACAGTGGCTGTTCAAAGGGGTCGCCATGGCTAGACGTCACCCAGGGCCAAGGGCACGTGACTCGTGACTGCACTGGGCTGAGTCTCCTGCCTGCTTCAGGAGAGTGGGATTGTGGCAGTTGGGCAGGTGGGGTTGGGATGGAAGTCACTAGGGAGAGGAGTTCATGAGCTTTGAAAGCAAACACTTTCCCCTGGAGCAGTTCTTTCTGAAAGAGATCACTGCTGAACCCACAAATCTGTGCAAACGGCACTAGAACAGGTGAGGTTTCTCTGGGCCGTTAGCAGAGGGCAGCCTGCGGAAGTATGCTGTTCTTGTAGTGTGTTGTCGGTCAATTCCAACTCGTAGCAACCCTACAGGACAGGGTGGAAACGCCCCCAGGGTTTCCAAAAGCTGTTATCTTTACAGAAGCAGGCAGCTACATCCTTCTCCCGGACAGCGGTTGGTGGGTTCGAAGCTCCAACCCTTCAATTAGCAGCTGAATGCTTCACCACTGTACCACCAGGACTCCTAAAGGGATCCCCATCAAGGGGCAAGGCTCAGAGCAGCTCCAGGCTGGTGGCTTCCCCGTGTGGAAGATCCCCTCTCAGAACCAGCATGTTTGCAGCACGCAGGACCACGCAGAGGGAACACAGCATTTATTCACCAAGAAAGACGGGAGCAGCCTGCTGGTCGCCAGTCGGGCGCCCCCTGCTGGTCAGAAACCGCAGGCTGGGAGGCGTGGCCGGACCAGAAGGCTGGGGGCGCGGCCGGGGTGACACGGGTAAAGGTGGCAGTGGTCAGAGCGGGGACAGCAAGTCAGTGAGCCTTGATTTCTCCATCTAGAAAAGGCTGCGGCTGTGTTTGGACATCGCACAGTGGGGCCCCTTAGCAGGAGCGCGATTGCTCATCCCTGTGGCCTGGCCAAAGTAAGGAGCCTTGATCGCCCCAGAACCCGCTAAGCGGCCTTCCCTTCGTGACATCAGGCCACCAGCGACATCAGGCCAGAAACGGGGAGCGTACCAACCAATGGGTCCCTGAAGACGTGTAAGCGAAAACTGTGCAACTGCAGCGGCATACTGTCGCCCCCGTGTGGCGATAATGGGAAACACAGACCTTCAAGGTGATGTGCTGGTGTCAAGACGTTAAGGGGGCTTGCGGGTGGGTCCCAGAGAACCCACTGGGGTGATTGTCTGAGGGAGTGTGAGCCTGAGAGTAGGTGACAATTTGAGGACATAACACCTCCAACAGTAACAGGTCACATCTGGACACGTGGTCATCTGAGGTCCAGGGCAGTGAGTGAGCTACCCAAGGTCAGGAACGGCTCTAACACGGCACCATGGGCAGCAGGCTCTCAGTAAATGTTTGTGGAGTGTGGACAAGTGTGTGAGCCGTCCGTGCGTGCAACGTGGTTGGAATTGGTGGCCCAAACTGGGCAGATCGGTGACGGGGTGGTCCTATGTACATCTATACTATCTGATCTTTGACCCCGGAAGTCTCCCCGCTCAGGAGGGTCCCGGCCCAATAACAAAGGTGGGGCCTCCCCAGGCCTCTCTCCACTGCAGCCTCTGGTGGCTGGGACAGAGGGAAGCCCAAGCCCTGTGTAGCTGTGGTGGGCTCAGCCCAGCCCCCTGCACAGGGCAGAGCAAGGCCCTTGGTGGCCTCCTCCTAGGGCCTGGCCACTTCCTGTCAGGGCTGCTTCTTCCCATCATTTCAGGAGGGCAGGCAGAGCAGAGGGAGGGCCAGAGGTGAGCTCAGGACTCAGCCTGACCACGCCCCCAATTCTCCTAACTATACTTACAGACACCGGGAGCCCAAGGCAGGGCCCCGGTGAGGCCATTTTAACAAGCTGGGGAAAATGTGGCAAGGAGCCCAGGGCCAGGGGTGTGGGTCCAGGGTCTGGAGTGACCGTGGCACACTCTGCCCCCCTCTCCGCTTCAGGCTGCAAGCCACATGGCCCGGCTAGGGGCTGAGGCTGGGGAGGGGGTCCAGGCCCGGCTCAAAACCCACAGGCAGCGTGGTGGCCTCGCTGGGCGGGATGTGGTGGGTCGTGTAGCGCTTCCCTCTGAAGGAGCCAATCCGCAGCTGCTCGGGCGAAGGGGCCTCCTCGGGCAACCAGAGACTGGAGCTGGTGGGGAGATGAGGACACCTGCGTCCCTGAGGCAGGGGGAGTCCGGCTGCCCGGCTGCTGTCCTCCCCAGAGTCCTCATCCTGCAACTTTTTCTTCCTTCTGGAACCCACGGAAGGCCTGCCTCCTCCAGGGGGCACTCCCTGACTATCCTGGCATCAGTTCACTCCAACCACAGAATAAAAACAGGGCCCAGGAGAAGGGCCAGGCCAAGGTCACACTGAAGAACAGGGTCCTAGAGGGGCTGCTGGGCCGTCTCACTCACCCCTGCGGTGGAAATTCCTTGGAGGGGCCCTACCTCAAAGCTGTAGTGAATGTTAGCTTCCAGCTCTGTGGCTGCAGGAAGAAGAGGTTCAGGGGGGCCAGGGAGGGGCCTGCCAGGGGAAGGGGGTGTCAGGCACTCACAAGCGCATGGTGGAGGCAGCCAGGAAGGCCAGGAGTAGGAGGCCAGCCAGAGAAGACAGGATGGTGGTGATGACAATCATGGCCCCACTTCGCCGTCCTGGCCACGTGTCAATGGAGCCCGGAGCCCTCCCTGTACACACAGTACCACTCAGAGAGACTGTCACCTCTCTCCCGCCTGCCCATGCTCACAGCCCAAGGCCTGGCTACCTCACCTCCCCAAACAGCCTCTTGAACCTACTCATCTGTCGGCTCAGCCAGACTTCAGTGGTTGGCCAGCCTGACCACACACCACTGCAGCCTCTGCCTGGTCTCAGGGCCCTGGCCGTGCCAACAGATCCCCCCTGCTGCCCTGCCCCAGGCTGCAGACCTCAGGACTGACCCTGGCTTTCGGACCTTCAGAAGACCACCTCAGCTGCTGCCCTCACCCCCATTTCTGCAGTCCCCCAACCTCTGGCCTGTGGTGGCACACACTGTTCTGTGGACGCCGTTAAGGAAGCCACCCAGCCCTGACTCTGCCTCCTCCAGGGACGCCCCCCTCCTCCCACCAGAGCTCTGCTTGGCCTGGGCTGGTGTTGGCGGGTGGGCCGCGCTTAGCCACTGTCTCCAGGCCTCCCGCCCCATGGGAACAGGGCTGCGGGTCAACTGAACTTGACCATTTTGCAGAAGGCGACAAGTTGGCCCTGTGGGTCCCTCAGGCTACCTTGGTGGAGAATGATGGGATCTGACCACCTCGTCTCAGCTTTGGGAGAGCCTCGGGGGTCCATCAGAAGGAACTTGACGCTGGGGGAGGACGGAGAGAAGGAGAGGGGGAGACCCCTCAGATACTTCAACTGCCCAGGCCCCAGACCCCCTCCGTGTCAGGCCGCTGGCCTTGTCGTGGTCGGAGGGCAGGCTGGCTCTCCCTGTGCTGCCGATACCAGCCATGGCCTGGCCCTACATCCACCTCTCTGACCACGGTGACCTCTGCCAGCTGCCCCAAACCATCTCCTGATAGATGCCACCGATCTGCGATGGGCACACCGGTTCAGGGCGTCCCAGGTACTAAATGTCACACACAGTCACCAAAGAGCAGGAAAGGAGGGCGCCTGGGGCGGGGCCTCAGGGAGGATGTGCTGGCTGGTGCCAAGGAGGAGGGTGTGGTCAGGGAGAGCGGCAGGGCAAGCCCAGGGCAACAAGAGCTGAGCCGAAGAGCTCGGACTTGACGCCTGTGCAGAATGGGGAGCTCAGAGACCCTTCTGAGCATCGAGGGCCCCTGGGCCAGTTGGCTTGGAGGGAAGCCAGCTCTGGGGCTACCGGTGCTGGAGGCAGGGTGGAGGGACTGGAGTCTGAGCCCAGGTGTGGCC